TTTACAAGTATATTTTATGACGATGTGGGAAGAAATTATTTGAAAGAGACACTCCATTCAGATATTTTTTTTCTAACTGGTGGGGAGTGAGGCAAACATATTTTTTCTCCTTAATCTTTGTTTCCCACAGTTTTACAGTCTTTAACCATGAAATAGTGTAAAAGCAAAACAACTTCATGGTTGTCCTATTGCAGGACTACGAAGAATGCCCCCTGAGACAGGAAGGGAAGCGCTGTGTTCCAGGAGCAGGGGAGTCTGTTCTCTCACTGCTGGGGCTCAGCGTAGGCACACAGCGAACCACCTTTGAGTGACAGATGCTGACAAGGTGATTTGCATATTTAAACCCCCAATTATTTTAAATTGGGTGTAATCATGGCACGTTTTCCCTTGAGGAATCCAAATTATTGTTTTGATTCTTCACTTTCGTATATAACCATGAGCTTAATGTGATCATTAAAGTCCTAATTTCTTCCCCAAGAATTGACTCCTGTAGGAGTAACAATTGGGAAAAAGGAATAATTGGCAGTAGTAGTTCCAGAACCAGCAGTACTTCCAGAGCTGTTGTGCATTGGGAATGCCCAGCAAGCATTTCCATGGCGGTTGACCCTGGGAGCCCCTTTTCACAGAGCGTTTGGATTCCGTGGTCGGAAAGGCTGTTCTGTGTTGTATTTCACTTTCCCCATTTCTAAGGAAGGCCCACAATTCTCTGCCTCAAGAGCTTGCTTATTTGTGAAACATAATCAAGATGAGTATTTGAAAATCACTACATAATATATAATTTAAAAATATCAGTTACAAATAATATTTGAAGATGTTCAGATGAAGAAATCTCTGGTAATTGGGAGTAAAATGTTGCTCTCTCTTTTAAAATGTTACTTTTCAGGATGTTATAGCCTATGTCTTTATTTAATTTTCTCTCTCTAGTCTAGATCAGTGAAAAGGTTATTGAACACTGAAAGCCTGGTGCACAAATTCGTGCACGAGTGGGGTCCAGCTGTAGGGAGGGGCCAAGGGCAGTTGGCCGGCTGGCCCCACCCCTTGGTCAAACTCCCGGTTGAACTGACCCTCGAACTCCCTGTTTAGGGGACAATTGCATATTAGCCTTTTATTACATAGGATGTGCGTTTGGTATCTGTTCTGAAAGACAGGATCCATCCATGTGCCACATTGAGCCATCAGGACTTGTGAAGTAGTTTCAACCTTTCATAGCCCTACTTAAATATAAATATGTTTCTAGTCATTTATCTAGTTTTAGAGATTTTTAAAAAAGAAAAACATTCTTCTCTGTGAGTTTCTCAAAGTGAGTCAGTTGAGATGCTGACATTTCACTTGCTTTTATTTTTTTGTCTTCCTCTGGTTCAGAATTTTGACCATCTTCTTGGGCACAGTCAATACACTATCCTAATGTATTGATGTATGTTGTACCTGTTCTCTCTAGATCTTGATAATATTTTTCTACCTCCTTTTTTATATGCTCATGATTTCAGGTGTGAGTTCTGCTGCCCTTGAAATTGACTTCTTATGTAAGAACATAAATATTTATCAGGACAGAAAAAAATAGACCCTTATTCAAGTAACTTCCTCAATACCCCCCCCCCCCCCTTCTGTTTTGGGACACCTAAGTTTAAAGGGAAAAAGAAGTTCTTAGGAAAAAAGAAAGTTGTTGGTTAATTTAAAAAAATTAGTAAAAGTTAATGTGATTCACCATTTGATGAAATTTTAGTTCAGATGTTTATAGGCCAAGAGGGTTTTCTGTGTTAAGATATTTTCTATCTTACCTCAGCTGATCTTTCTTTAGCAGTATGTAGTTTTTTAAAGTCCAGTGGAAGCTCCTTCTAACCCGTTTAGAAATAGGCAGTTCTGGTCATTACTAACTAAAGCATCAAGTATTGACTGGAAAGCTGAAGGGATCTTCTTCGCTTGTCGACATGATCGAAACCTGAATTTCTACCAAGCGCTATTCAAAAAGTAAGGTATAAGATGTGAGGACTACAAAGTGTATCATAGTACACATACACACAAACACACACACCACATTTATACATGTATATATGTACACACATACATACATGCATACATACATACATATATATGAATATGGTCGGTCACTTTAGACGTGGGTCTGAATTTCTAGGAGATTTTATATAGGAAAAGCAGAAATGCTGGCCCTGCCTTTCACACTTAACTTACAGTAACTCATAAATATTCTACTTAGATATTTGTACATCTCATCAATAGTCAACTTACATCTCAATAAAGGGAAGAAATCTATATCATATTGATATGTATCATTTCTGTGTTTTAAAGTAAAAATAAAATAAGGCTTTCAAGGGTATAAAGATGTTAATGGGTATATCTGGGTGATGTGATTATGGACAGTTGTAATTATCAATAGCTTTTAAGTTTTCTATAATGATATGTCTCAATTTTATAGTCAAAACATTGAGGTAAAATGAGTCGTTTATTTAAGAACATTCTTGTGAACTTTTAGAGATTCTTTTTTAATAGCCTTTTTCTTATTGCTGCTCTTTTTATATGTGGAGTTCTCATGTCTCAGAGCTCAAGTGAGTCACGAAGGATGACTCCCTACCTCTGTCAGCTTGGGCTGGCATAACAAAATGACCACAGACTGGTGGCTTAAAACATAATGTTTTAAAAATAATTTTTTATTTTTCAATTGCAGTTGATGTACAAATAGTATACTAGAGGCCCAATGCACGAAATTCGTGCAAGAGTAGGCCTTCCTTCCCCTGGCTGCTGGCACCAGCTTCCCTCTGACCCCAGCTTCACCGGAAGAACGACCAGAATGACATCCAGTCTAATTAGCATATTACCTTTTTTTTTTATTATTATAGATTAGTTTCAGGTATACAACCCAGTGATTAGATATTTATATAACTTACAAAGTGACAACTCTGATAAATCTAGCTTCCATCTGACGCCATACATAGTTATTACAATATTATTGATTATATGATTAATCTTGGTTGTAGGTCCTTGCTTTTCATCACTTGAACATTTTTTGCCAATTCCTTTTGGCCTAAGAAGTTTCTGTTGAGAAATCAACTGACAGTCTTGCGGGAGATCCCTTGCAGGCAACCAACTGCTCTTCTCTTGCTGCTTTTATGATTTTCTCTTTGTCTTTAACCTTTGCCATTTATTTATTTAATTATTTTTTTTTTGGTTAATCCTCACCTGCCAGATGAGAATACTTTCTTTTAAAAAACAACAACTTTTCTAGTGTGTCTTCTCCTGAGGGCATTAATCCCACCATAAGGGCCCCATTCTAATGACCCCATCTAACTTTGACTACCTTCCAAAGGCTTCATTTCCAAATACTATATTACTAGTTAGGGCTTTAACATATGAATTTTGGAGTCACACAAATGTTCAGTCCACAAGACTCCCTTCACTCAAACTGGAAGTACACTAGACTTCCAGAAATTGCATCTAAAATAAAAAAGCCTGGCAGGCTATATGTAAAAACATTAATGATGTTAGAGGGGATTTTCTCTATTTTCAATGAGTTCAAAGTGTATTATTTTTGTAACTGGAAAAAACTCAGTAAATACGGTTTAAAGGAAATGGAATACTGTGGACTGTACCAGCCTTAATAGTCTTGCAAATTTCAGAATCTCTTTATTTTATCTTCTTGGATTTTTTCATTGTTTTTTTAGAATTAATAAAAGTGTTTCTCCAGCATTTCGAGCACTTGGATCTTGACACATAGACAGTGGAGCTCAATAAGTCTCTCTTGCAGATCCTTGTTTTTCTTTTAACTATGATGACAATGTTAACAACAATAATTATTATATTTCCATAGGAGACATGTTTCGGGCATATAATATAGGGAAATAAAGTAGAAAATAGTCACAAAGTCAGGATGGACACATTTGTTGCTGAGTCCTTTTAATTAGTTAGTTATGAATTGAATAGTTTATTCATTGCCTTTATTTTGGAACTCTTAATTTTTTACATTCTAAAAGAATTGTTACAAAATGATTTGGTGATTTGTTTTTAATTGATATTCAGTTATAAATGTATATAAGTACCTGGAATCTGTGCAATTAAATGGCAGGTAGATGGTGATTGTGGGAAAACTTAAAGCGAAATTTTCCACATGTTTCATTTACAAGATTGACTTGAGTCTAATAATGACGTTTGAGGGATGATTTTTTCCCCCACATAAGAGCTTTCTCTTCTCTACTTTCTAATGCTTCATTTCTTATTATGCTCTACATTGTGTACAGAGTTTGTCATTTCCTTTAAAAAATACTCTATGTTTATTTTTCTCAATCCCATATTCTCGGTTTGTTTGTTTTTGTATTTTTGCTGTAAATCAATTGGTTAGAAATACCCTTCAAAGTAGTAATGTTTTTGCGATGCTAGGAGCTGACAGCTTGCCAAATAAATCATGATGTTGTGATATATTATTTCCAGTTACTATAAAATTTTTAATATTTAGTGTATCAGTCATACTAAGTCAAGTTTCAGTTATTTAATTTCACTTATGTCTGCATTTTAGATGAGAATCCTTTTTCCCATTAGTAGATTTTAATTTCCTTCTCTCTCACAGTCAGATTCCAAGCTTGACTTATAAAACCAGCCACAGAATATACACACGAACACACCGTTTTTATGTTTACAAGTAGACTTAAGGCTATACAGTGGTAAACTATATCTTGAATTAAAAATGTGTCCACTTTAAGTGATATTTTCACTTTTATCACTATTGCTTTGGTAATTTGATTCCCAGATATTAGGCAAATGTATCTAGGTAGCCCTGTATTCTATTGAGACATGATCTTTATTAGGAGCTTAACAAATCTCATAAACGTTCCTTAGAAGTGAAAAAAAAATGTTCTGAATTCACAGCTATGTCTACATCATGATTATTTGTATTACTACCAAAATTCCTATCTGAAATTCTGTTTTGATAACACTGAAAAACAATTCTTTCCGTCTCTTTTCTTTTTTTTTTTTTTAAATTTCACAAACAGGACACAAAAATTGCTTCATTGGAGCGAAACATAAGGGACCTTGAGGATGAGATCCAGATGTTAAAAGCCAATGGTGTCCTGAACACCGAGGACCGTGAGGAAGAGATCAAACAAATAGAGGTTTACAAAAGTCACTCCAAGTTCATGAAAACCAAGGTATGGTCCAGAGTTACAAACTTTTATACTCTTAGTGTGACTGGAAAGTGACGGTTTACTTACATTCTTTCCCCAAATACATAATCTGCTTTATATGATATCATGAAATATATGGACAAGAAAGAGGAATGCAAAAATTTTAGTTCAGATGCATAGATTCCAAAAAGAAATCAGGGAAGACCTTTGGTAGAATTTCTACCTACAAAGGGGTTCAGGATTTTCTAATGAGTTCCTTTGTTGTTGCTCTGACTTGGGAATTTAAAATTACCTTGTAATAGTCCTCTTACTTCCAAATTTTCTGAGTTTTCATAAGTTTTGAAAACTATTTTAAAAAGTTTCTTTCATTGCCACATTTTGAGTCCATCCCTAGAAGATGATTCTCAAAAGGCAATCTTAGAAGTTAATTTAACTGATTTGAATGATATGAGGACATTTTAGTTTTAGTATAGTGTTTAAGACAAAAGTTGACTTTGAGTCCCAATGCTGCTATTTGTACAGATTATTCAACTTCTTTAAGCCCCAGTTTCCTCATCCATGAACTAGGGATAAGAAAAAGAAAAATGCCTCTATCATTTGGTTTTTTGATGATCCCAAGAGATTATGCATTTAAAGCACTTAGTCCTCGGTCTGATCCATACAGATGTCAGGCATTGTTATTGACAGTGGTTATTATTATTACTGTTATCTGTTGCTATGAAATATTTATGTGTTATTATAGTTACATGTTTCATTAATTTATTTCATATTACTAGTTTTGAAGAATTTGTCTTACATTTTTCAAAATTGAACTGGGCTACAAATGGACCATGCACCTGAATATCTATTATTTTTACATATACATAATTATTGAATATATGAATAGTCCAATAGGTCTAATAAGATTTTGAGGTGCTTTTATCTATTGCTGTCTTTAAATCATGTTGTCTCTGAAAATAATAACCGCACCAATAAAAATTTTTTTCAAGCATGTTGCTTCTGAAAATAATAACCACACCAATAAAAAATTATTAGTAAATAATCCTGTTCTTGATCTAGATTTTACTCTTTTTTATTGCCTTATAAAATGTAGCAGATTTAAGAATAATGCATATTTCTGTGAGAAACCAGTGGGAGTAGGGAGAGAAAGTATTTAAATGATAATTGATTTTTTTATTAGTTGTGAAATAAATGCATGCTCATTGCAGAAAATTTGCAAATTATAGAGAGGAAATAATAATATCTAGCATCTGCTTCACCCCATACGTATATGTGTGTACATATGTGTGCTTTTTCGAAGAGAAAAAAACAAAAACTGTACTTAATTCTGCCAACTTTCCATCTGTAAGTTGACATTGAGATTATGAATAAAAATTTGGATCAAGGCCCTAGCCGGCTTGGCTCAGTGGATAGAGCATCGGCCTGCAGACTGAAGGGTCCCGGGTTCGATTCCGGCCAAGGGCACATGCCTGGGTTGCGGGCTTGATCCCCAGTAGGGGGCGAGCAGGAGGCAGCCGATCCATGATTCTCTCTCATCGTTGATGTTTCTATCTCTCTCTCCTTCTCTCTTCCTCTGTGAAATCAATAAAGAAATATATATTAAAAAAAAAAATTTGGATCAAGGAGTGGAGATATGAGAAGGAGAATGTCCAGTGGGTTTGAATCTAACCCCTTCCTTTCTGGGACCACCACCAAATGCAGAATAGGTTTTCCTGCTCAGCCCTGCCTCTGGTTTCATTTTTGCAGCCCTTCCCTCTCAGGCCGTGAAGCGTGGCCTGCAGGTGATGACCAAATTTCTCTGGGAATGAAGACCAGAGGCGCAGACCTGAGGTTTGGGGGAAACGATTGTTTCAGCTCAAACCGTTCCTCCCTCCCCTGTCATTGCATGGTGGGAGAGAGCGCAAGCCTTTCTGTAACGAAAACCGCCATGAAATTTGTAAACTTCACTCACACCATGGACTCCTGTCCAGGTAAAATAAAGCATTTATAGGGTCTTCAGCAAATGAGTCATGACTGTTACTGGCCTGCAGTTGTCTGAGAGACTTACTTTGAAGGGTTGATTCCCAATGTGGTCGGGCCAGAAGAATGATTGCGGGGAGTTATGGAGTAGGGTGGGAAGGGTGCAGGCTGAGGGCAAAGGCAGACTGGGAAGTCTCTAGCCTGCCCTTGCTAGCGGCAGGGCTTTGCGGAGTGACTTAAGTCACCCAACCACACTTTCCTCTTCTATAAGATGGGGGCAACACCACCCTCTGTAGAGGTTGTCCGAAAGGATTAAATGAAATAAGATAGTTTAAATTCTTGGCTCAAAAAAAAAAAAAAAAAAAAAAAGCTGTTGACTTTTAATCCATTGCCTGGTATTTCTCCAGCAAAATAGTTTATTGGGGAACAACAAAGAATTGCAATTCGGGACATGTGGTCTAATGGTAAATCACACACACATATAGAGAAACAAAAGAGAGGAGTTTTGTGGACTTTGGAGGGGCTGTTGTAAATGAAGAGTCCACTGGAGAAACTGCAAGTTCAAAGTGCAGTGACTTTTCAGTGCTGAGCTATGGCAGCCTCCCATTGGCTGAGCTGTTCCAGGGCCAGGAGGAGTCTTTCCTTCCTCCTGCTGTGATAGTAACGTGGCATCACTTCCTGTCAGAGATGCAAGGTTTGTCTCTTCTTCTTGGGTCAGTTGGTCTACATGTGCATGACAGTTTTCTAGTCTCCCGACTCCATTTTAAATGAGGTTTTGTTTATTAATTTTCACAGTTCATAATTATACCCATTATTATTGAAGTATAACCAAACATAATAATAATAAATGTTGTATTTAATTTGATTAATGGGGACAAGGGAGTCTAAGAAATAAAATTAAAATGACTTCTTATAATGTCATATCCTTTACAGACTGATAAAAATTAGATAAAAATACCCCTAAAAGTTATCTTTTTATATTTTCTCAATTGAAAGAATGTTTTTATTGGGTTGAAACGTAACAGTTATTGCTCAAACTTCATACCATTACTTCAATTACTTGTTTTTCTTACTTCTACTTTGATTCCTTACGTAAGCCTAGGAATGGCCTAGCAGTTCTGTTAAGACATAGCTATTGCTAAACATTTAGTCCTGGGTGCTTGTGTCTTATGCTATTGGGGTCCCTTAGGTTGTGTGTACTGATTCCAGTGGCTAAACCATTTATCATGGAATTTGTGAAATTGGATAGTCATGGGCTGATAGCCTCTAAAATCGGATCACTAGCATATTATATGGTTCACTGTTGCCTATTTGAATAATTCTTTACAAAGTTTACTTGACTATATTGCTTGTCAAATCATCACAGATATCTAAGGAGTTAATTTTTGCAATAGTTGGTTACACACATTGATAGAACAATTTAGTATCACCATTGGGGATCTCTTGAACTCTTTAATTTTGCAGAGTTGTATGGATGGATAAAGCTGTCATTGGTGGAATCTGAGTATTGCAGTCCCCATCTTGTTAAGCATTGTTTTTAGCACATGGCACTGAGCTAGCCACTGAGGCCCACTAAAAATAGTGCATATTCAAAGTATTTTCCGTCCATTCATATTGACCACTTAGTAAATAATTATATTCAAAACACTACCCTGGATGCCCTAGCTGCTTTGGCTCAGTGGATAGAGCATCAGCCTGCGACTGAAGGGTCCCAGGTTCGATTCTGGTCAAGGGCACATGTCCAGTTTGCGGGCTCTATCCCCAGTAGGGGGTGTGCAAGAGGCAGCCAATCCATGATTTTCTCTCATCATTGATGTTTCTATCTCTTTCTCCCTCTTCCTTCCTCTTGGAAATAAATAAAAATATAAAACTAACAAACAAACAAAACAACACTACCCTGAAGATTTGATGGCAGGGGAATTCACTTTTGGCTAGAGCAATGCAGGTTGTTTAGGTTTAGAGGTGGTAGTATTTTTTTGTCTAAATAAAACAGCAATGAAGAACGCAAACTTAAATCAATGTTAGAGAAAACCTAGAAGGATAAGTGAAAATATCATCCCACCCCCCAACTTCACACAGATAGGGAAGTAGGAAGAACTCAAATCTATGTGAAATGACAGATTTCCCAAAACAGGAAAGAAATATTAAATTATAAATCCTAGAGGCTCTGAAACTCACGTGGGAAATAGAGAAGTAATTGTTAAAGTTACTGGGTTTACTGAGGCAGTGATAGAAGTGGAAATCACAAAAGGACGTTGGATCCCAACTAACAAAAAATGATAGATTTGAGGCTAGGAGTGTTGACTTTACAATTTTTGTTTTAATGTTTTATAAAGACTCAAAGAGTCATGGTAGAACATTTCAGACATCTTTATGGAATGCTGCATAAGGAGGGGGACTCACACTCTTTGGAAACCAAGCTTAAAATTGCACTTAAATATTGTGCCTTCTTATTGCTGATTGTAATGAATATATGGAAAGCTTTAAAGGTGGTCCAGAAAGTTTCTCCCTAACCAGGGGCTTTTGGAGAGGCAACTAGAATAACCACTGTGTGCAAGACTAGATTAGAGGTGCTGATTGCTCTGAGTATTTCTTTTCTTTTTTATTAAATATATTTCTTTATTGTTTTCAGAGAGGAAGGGAGAAGGAGAGAGAGATAGAAACATCAATGATGAGACAGAACCATTGATCGGCTGCCTCCTGCACGCTCCCTACTGGGGATCAAGCCTGCAACCCAAGCATGTGCCCTTGGCTGGAATTGAACCTGGAACACTTCAGTCCACAGGCTGATACTCTATCCACTGAGCCAAGCCAGCTAGGACCTGAGTATTTCTTTACCAGATGTCAAAGCATGTTTTATCATGCTCACTTCTAAGTTTACTATTTTTTATTTTTTTGTTAATCCTCACCAGGGGATATTTTTTTTCCATTGATTTTTGTTTGTTGTTTAAGAGAGAGTGGAACAGAGGGAGAGAGGGCAGACAGAGAAAGAGGGAGAGGAAGAAAGAGAGAGAGAGAGAGAGAGAGAGAGAGAGAGAGAGAGAGAGAGAGAGATGTGAGAGAGA